ACAAATAACCTAACATAAAGTGAACTCTTTAAATCCGTATAATAATAAATTACATATAAGACAGGAAACAGATGTTCCAAACAGTTCACACGTACAAATACCTACCCCTCTAGGTCAATGTGTTATCTCCACCAGCTCATCAAATGCAAAAATGATTCACATTGATCAAATATCCAGTTGATCTGTAAGGGTCCTTCTTGAATCTTGGGCACATAGTATAAACTTCATGTACTTTTAAAGTTTACTCTTGTTCAGCAAGAAAGTTAATCCAGCTATTCTACTAACCATTCCTATTCCACATTAGAAATTCTTAAATTGTAGGCAAGTTGGCATTATATTAGCAAGTTAATTCCAATGCCCAACAGAGATGATGTTGCATGGGAAAGGACTAGTAGAACTGAGACAGGTGGTGCTCAGTTTCCCAGACTCCAGGTCTTGGGCCACTTCTCTGAGTCTCAATCCATACCCATATCCCAGAGTCTTAGGCCCCTCCCCTGCATCCTGAGCTAGAAGTGAGTTACACTGTTGCATGTTGTACCTATTTTCAGCACAACACAAAAAGACAGAGACTACAGGAGGCAAGCTTCATCAATTTCAGTGGTCAATATGCCCAATGAAAAGGAGTTTGGCCCTGAATGACTCTCCACTGGAGGTGCTAGAAAACACCAAGTATATTTTAATATATTCAGTGTATATGCTAGAATTTGACCACTGCACAGGCACTGAAAGAAAGAGTGCATGCACAAGGCTAAGAGTTACATAACCAGGAACCACCCCTTTAGCTGAATATTAATATAGCATTAATATGTATAGATAGACAACTATAAAAGGTAGAATCCAGGGCGTCAGTGGGGCTGCTGCTCACTCTGGAGCCAGGCTACACTCTGCCTGTGACGTGCTTGTTTCCTTACTCTTTATATTAAACTTTCTCTTGCTTTCTACTCTGACTCTGCTCTTGAATTCTTTCTTGCAGCAGAGTCAAGAATCTGGTAGAGGACAGGGGCTGTGGTCAACTGGTAACAGAACAATTTTTTTTTCTGCATCCCCCTCCTTACTGTATGAGATCATCTCTTTACTACCACGTACATAATGAATACTGCCCACTTTACTTTTTGTTTGCTTAACAAATATATCCCTAGAACTTTACTCAAATATTGGTCTTTAATTAAGCACTCCTACCTCACTAAGCAAGAGAGAACTTCTCATTCCCGTAAACTCAAACGGCACTCAACTAAAATAACAAAAACGTTTGCAAAAATACTTTAAATATCATGAGAAGGTACTAAATAAAACAAGTGCTAGTAAATACTAAGTAATTCAACTGAACCCTTTTGTATGAATGGCTGATTACCCAAGGGTGTGAGAGTATGGAGTCAGATATCAGATAGGTATAGACACTAATCAGATATTTTATCATAAGAAAGTAACTTTAATCTACCTAAAAAATTTTTCTTCTAACTTAAAAAACTGAATAACGCTGCCACATTCACTCATTTAGTATTTCTTAAAGATCTACTTTGCGATGGGCTCTGTACAAGTTTTGTAGTAATTGCAGGCAACTGAAGAAAAACACCACAAAATTCCAGAAGCAAAAAAAAACAGCCATAAAATTGTCCTAAAACACCAACAGTGTCCAGTGTCCACTGGAGACACTTGCCATACTCACTGTGTTCAATACATGCTCCATAAATATCATTCCCCCTCCTTCCTGTACATTGCTTAGAACCCTAGGAAGTCTGTCACTTTTTTATCCAAGACGTAGTAGTCTCATTTTTACATATACTTATTTCCATCTCACCAGGTGCCTGTGCCTTCTGTGATCCAAAGACGAGTTTCCTTTCAGCTTTCAACATCATACAAAGTATAGAAAAGAAAAAAAAAGAAGAATTAGCTCAGAATATCTATGAAAATATAAAAGGATATTTGAGGAACTGGCAAAGTGCAACACTACACTGCCATTTCAAAGTTTTTACATGAAGCTGAGATTTTCTGTAGAGAATAATGTGTGTTCTGAAAGTCTACTGAGGCACAATGACTGGATTTCAGAGTGTCACTTTAAGCTCAAATTTTCAAATCACTATACTCAGACAAGGTCCCATATCATCATGAACCTAGCCAAGGCCTCTGCAATATTCTCTTACTTTTCTTTACAAGGTTATTTTACCTGGAGTGGTTTACGTTTCTTTCCTAAATGCAGCTAATGATTTTCAGCCTTGTTGCAACACTACGGGGTAGGATCCATTCTGAAGACATGTCAGAAAATTCTCTCTTCCTTTCAGAGTCATCAACTAAGTGGGCAAAAGGGCAGCACATGAGACTGAAAAAGTTGCAACACACAAATATCCCATTTCAGGCTCCCACGATAAAATAAACCCACAATAATATGCCTTGCTTTATTTCACAAAATTCATGTGCTGACCATCATTATATATATAAATAGGACCAAGGGAACTGGAATACAAAGATGAGTAAGACGAAATATAACAGTGTAGTATCAACTGGATTGGAAAAATTCACCCTATAATGTTAGAGGATTTAACTGACTACTTGCAGAAATCAAAGAAGTGATATTTAACATGAATATACTGTGTAAAATGTTTTTTTTTTTATCTTTGGGAAATTCTAAAGACTCTAGACAGATAGCACTATCATCACATAATTTTCCATGTAAATCAGTTTCTACCTGTAAAATCCTATTACAGTAAGAACCTGTAAGAAACAAAACACCAGCAGATTAAATACAATCTTCTAAAATTTCACATGATAACCTAATTAAGGACTAATGAGTTCACCAAAGCAGGTAGTTCCCTAAATAACTTTCAAAATCCTTTTAATCCCAAGTCAAATTTATCTACCATATAAACAAAGAATATCACAAATACTTTATATCTTATTTTAGGTTAGCATAACTATTCAATCCTGGAATTCTATTTGAAACTGTTCAGGAAATCACAATGGAAACACATCAAACAAGATAAGCATCATGAATATATTTATGGAGTCAGAGGTAATAAAATATATATTATCAGGAAACAAGAAAGTTGTTGCCCAACTGTGTTTTAAATGAGACATGTACTAATTTGAATGCCAGAATGTAGATGATTTCTAAGTGACCCCAAGTATTTAGTGCCATGAATGTTTGAAAACCGGTATGGTTTTATGTGTCCCTAATGTTATGTGTTAGGTTGTAGAAGCTCAGGTCTAGCAAATCATAATACAAGATTCACACACCTATCTCAAACCTCTATGTCCCAAGTTGTTCTCTAGTAATACAGCCCACAAGCAATCAGGGTTCTCAAACAAGCTAGGAAACTCCAGGAAGAAGAGAATGGTATCACCAAACAAAATAGCTACGAGAAATAAGCATCTTGCAGAATCTAGAATTCTTGTAACTCATCTTTAACTTGCAAAATAGGCCAACATTAGTTAAGGGAATATTAGAAAATAGGTTTTCTTCAAATATGCAGCATAATCACTCATGCCAAATTCTAAAGGTCATCCATACCAGCAGACCTATACAAGGAGGAATGTTTTGCTTCCAAAGGAAAAAAAATAATAAACGTACCACAAATTATTAGAAGTAGGTCCACAGAACAGACTGGGCAGAAAATCTTTGCATGACAACCACACATTCTTTCTAGAGAGAAAGTATGTGTCTTCTCATTCAATTTGTTTTAACTGAGTTGCTATGCCTCCAGAAATCCACAGAGTGCTTGGTCTGGGATTTTGGTAAATCAAAAAGTTTGTTTTAACATTTACAAACTCTAAAAACAGTAACACAACATCTGTATTATATAAATCTCCTAAACAAACTAAGGCTTTGATACTTTTTTGTTCCTTACCTGATTGTTAGTGACCATCAATCCTGGAAACTACTCTGGCAGAGACCATATGAAGTTGTTGACAGCAACTGTAGCCACGATGATGTTTCCTTTTCTTGGACAACTACCACTTCCAAGGAAATGATTTTAAAGTTAGAAAAGGTGACAAATATACAACCACCACTGGTAAAATCAAGAATAAACATAATCCCAAACAGTCTACCAGACTTAAATTAATTATTAATTATTATGGAGGTAACACCAATATTTAACACTTACACTTAAGTTAACACCTACAATCAATATGGATAATTTACTCACTGCCTAGTTGAAACTTTTATCAAAACCTAAAAACCTCCTCTCTCTGCCCTTTTAAAAATGGCTTCTTTGTTCCAAAGCCAACTATACTACCTAGATACCAGAGCATTTCATAACTACTTAACTAGAATAGATCATCTACTCCTGAAAACTTGTAGTACATCATTAAGTGGTACAGTTGAACACACGCATAATTTGTACCTTAGTGTCCTAATTTTATTTTAGGCTATTATCTTTATTATAAGTAATCCAATTTATCTCAGATATGCAACCCCCTACCTCCCAGTACCTAGGTTTTGCCAATCATTTATAAATTTATAAATGAATACTTACTAGTAGGCAATGATTATCCCAGGAACACATCCTCTATTCTAATGAAAGGGCACTGTAAAAACTGATCCACTGAGGTAAACTTCCCAAGAAAAGGTATAACTCTTATTTGGAACACTTTGATTTAATGAGCATAGAGTCTGATTCACCACCGCTACTTCCTTCAGTATATACATGGCCTTTCAAGGCATTTCATCCCATCCCCACTTCCATTCAGATAATGTGGAATAGTCAAGTGAGAAGCAATAGGCCAGGTGTGAAACTTAGCACAACCACCTAAATACCCTAGTCATGAGTCTCCTTATCTGTAAAGGTTATTAACCAACACCACTCTATGCATAAAGTGAAAGTTAGAAGGCAGAAGCTTGTATTACAATCACTGTATCCTAAAAATTAAGCAGAAAATTATTTGAATGAATTCCTTAATAGGATTCACCTCATCCACAATAATTTCAAGATCAGAAAAATCCCAATTTTCACTATGACCTCAATAAAAACAATAGGAAAAAAATGTACAACAGTACCTCACAGTTTAATTGCTCTATGCATTTATTATTAGCTATTATTAATGCAGAAAGAGGGGACAAAAAGCTCACAAACACTCTACACAATTTCACAAGACACATAGCAGGGAAAAAAGTGACTGAGATGAATCAAAAGTATCCTAGGGTCTTGGTGGACGCATTCCTGGGGGAGGTGGACCTGGAAAGGAAAAAGGCAAAATTTCATGAGACAGAAAAACTATATATAAATATGCAGGGGCCTGGCTGCCGCTGACAAGCCCCTATACTCCTATTCACCTCTAATTCCTGGTGGAGGGGGTCTCATTCCTGGAGGAGGCATGCCTATTGGCGTTCCTCGAGCAGGGGGAAGCCCAATCGGTGGGCCCATGGGTGGCCTCATACCAGGTGGAGGAGCCATTATTCCTACAAAGAAAAATACCAGAAATAAAGCCCTCATAAATGGACTCAGAAAAAGTGATACAATTCAGCCCAGATAAATGGGCCTACATACCAATGAGAGGGTCACAATTATCTCTTTGACCAATACCTCTACATGACATCCCCAACTCAAATCAGTCCACAGCCTTTCATTAAGAACCAGTATTTAAAGGAGGGGAGCATAGTTCCCAAATTCCTAATTAAGCACTTAGGATGTGCCTTAATTCAGTATTTTCAGTCATCACTTCCTCGAGATGATATAATCTCTCATGAGAGATCCAAATTATTCTTGTTCACCAATCCCTTACCTGGAGGAGGGGTTGCTCTGCCTACAGGTGGGGGTGGAGTGCCCCGTCCTGGTGGATACTGTGTTGGGGCTCCAGCAATGCTGGCAGTGGCAGCAACAGCAGCAGCCGCCACAGTGCCTCTTCCCTGTGGAGTCATGACCTGAGAAAGCATTGCCAAAAAGACAGTAAAGGTGAGGCACCCTCAATTATTCAAACAAAGCAAATAAATGATAGGTATGGCCTGTTAGATAATTAGTGTCATTTCAAATTTCTCTTATTATTCCCAAATTTTAAAAAATCTTGGTACAGTGACATCTAATACTCCCTTCTGCCTCTTCCCAATTCTAGTATATCCATCCACATTTGTCTTTACTCTCCAAGTAGTAGTGGCAAGTTACTATAAGCAAGATAGTTTTAATCACCCAATAACCATTAAGTACCTAGTTTTATTCCCTTCCTCCTGTACATCTGCCCTTTAGTTCTTTCTCGAGCATGTGCTGCTTACATGTGTAAGATTAGGTTTTTGAATTACCTCAGTCTCTAGTCATATTCTCCAAATAAAATAAAACTCTCTTCTGGTTCCTCACCTGCTGGGATGGTCCCCCAACTCCTCGGACAGGGCCTGCTAATCCAGCAGGAGCCTGGGGAATTGGTACACCAGCTGGTACTCCTCTGCCAGCTGCCCTACCAACTCCAGGGCCTCCAGCAGCTCCAGCAAGTGGTACCCGAGCAATGCCAGTCTGAAAGAAGAAAAGTTATAGCTTAAAACCAAATGATTTACCCAAGGTCTCAGCAGTCTTATTCAAAGATTACTCCCTCCTCACCATTTTTCCATGCCACCTTTCTCTTATCAGTTCTGTATTCAAATGAATAAATGAGCCAGAACACCACAGAGGTACCTTGCAGATTCCTAATATACACATATTTCTCAAATTGTAAAGACATCTATGTTTATAACTATACAAGCAAAAGTATAAATCAGCAACTCCTATCCTTATCTAGGTAGTACCCAGCACACAGAATAATATATCAAAAAATCCATCATCTATAAAAAGCATAGACAACCTGTGCCCCTGTTGTGCCCTGATTCACATTTTTAAATAATGTAGTGTCCTTCCACATTAAAGTTCTGTCCCGCCCTACATCTTCCTTACATCTTTGGGGGGTGGCCCCTCCACAGTCATGGATACCAAGTTCTCCCCACGCAGCAACACCAGACCCAAAACCCGCTTTTCTTCACGCTCTGGCTGCTTCGCATTCTTTGGCCTATAATTAGAAGTAAATTTTAGTGAGATCCCTAGATCACTCACGAACATATTTTAGTAGAACATCAAGAAATATCAATTAAGACAGTAACTAATGCCAAGATGCTCATTTCAACAGTTAATGAGTTGTGACACCTGCCCCCCACCAAGGCAAACAAACAAATAAAACCTCTAGACTAGTTAATATATAGGGGTAAATAGTAAAACTCTTTTCCAACCTAACTTCAATCTTTTCTAGAATATCCCCTTAACATTACACTAAAGCAAAACTGATTTTGTAAAATACAGATATGAATTACATAGCTAAGACTTTTAAGAAAGGCAAAAACTAAAACCTCAGTTTCCAAGTTTAGATAGGAAGTACATTTTTTAAAATAATTTTTTAAGTAAATTAAGTAAATCTTGACAGATGATACAGAACTGAAATAAAGAATGGAAACAGTAAAAGGCAAAGAGGGGATACCAAATGGTAATCATATCCCAACTCTGCAACCATGATGAACAGTTGTTATTCTCTATTTCAACTAAGATTCTTTCAGTCTGAAACACTGTTGCAGAAGCCAAAGAAAAACATGTTCCTCAAATTTTATAATGAATGTAACACAATTTGGTATTCCAGTCATATTGTAGCTTTATTCACAGTAAATTCATGATTAATTTTGCAAACTGAAAGTAACAGTTTGGGTGCAAGGGCTTTCAGACTGACCTCATTCAGAAATACCGCCAAGAGATTTCAACAATAGATTGGCCCTACCATAGTTTCCCTACCTACTTCAATTACCCTTTTTTAACCTCTTACTTTAGCTCTGTCCTTTGCTTCCCATTGCCTATGTCTCAACTGCTATTACCCAAACCAGCCTTACTTGATCTTCCTGAACTCATCACAATCACAGAGGATCAAATTCATATGCTTGTCAAAAGCCTTAAAGGTGCCAATGAAGATCCGGCCATCTTGCAGGATACATCTCATTCTATAATCAATGTGTTGCAGCATCTTGCTGCTCTTGCCCACAGTCTGGAAGCAGTAAGAGAGTCAATGATAAGCTTGTCTACACCTTAGTTTTCTAAACTCCTCCCATCTCTTCCCCACTCCTACACCAATCCAACATGCTTTTCTCAACTAAACAAATATCCCCTCCTACTTTTCCTCCAACATTACTCCACCCTTACTCAGTACACTGGTAAATGAACAAATTTACTCCTCTAAGAAGCCCTCTACTTCTCAGAACAATGGGCGGTTTTACCATCATGATAAATATTATTTCTTCCCAACAGAGATCCCTGAGAGCAAGTTGCCTTTTAGAGCTGCCATTTTAATCTCTTTTCTTTCCTAATTCTATTTCACCTTTCTACAGAACACTTGACCCTATAGATTCTTTTCCCATTTACAAATTCCTAACTCCATCAAAAATTTTGCAGCTCCCATCAACCCAATGCAAGCATGACACACTATTTCTTAGTTCTCCATAGCTGCCTTAGTTCCACCACACCCATACCTTATTACTCAGAACTTTGAATCAGTGTTTCTCAACCTTTTTTCTCTTTCATTTTTGTTCCCCTAAAGCAGCATTTTAGATTTTTACCCTAGTAACCTATCTTTCTGAAACAACTTATCTCTCTTTATGTAATGTAACCCTTTGGAAGACCACAAAGCATTATCCAAGTGTTTTTGGATAATGAACCAATTTTCACCACCAATTTTCACTACCTTGGTGGTGACAGCCTTCTCTAGATTATCCATTCCCCTTCCTAAGCTAAACTTAAAACATTAGAACCATAGGTTAGGATTCTCCCCCCCCCCCATATTTCCCAAGATTGTTTTCCTCAGTAGATTTTATGTCTACTATAATGTGACCTAACAGTCCTCCCATTTGCAGGATGGTCCGTTACAACTGCAACCATGATCAAAAACTCCTTCTGCATTCCTCACATGATAAAACATCTCTCGAGATGGGTGCCGAACTTTTTACCACTATTAACAGGACACCAAACACTGCTCATCTGCAGTTGTTACTAAATGCAATCAGAATCCACTTCCCCAGATTTATCCTTATTTCTAACATTCACAACTCAAAGTCGACCACATGCAGCAAACTATTCTTTTGGGCCCTTACAGCAGTTTCCAACCCCTCTGCCTTAACGTACATCTTACCATGATTGCTGTTCCACCAAGTCCGATGTCCACAGTAAACTTTCAGGACCTTTAAGACCTGGGGAAGGCTATAGATAAAGGTATGATGCAGGTTCTCCTAGAAACAATGCAAGCTGGGCAGAAGGTTCAAACAGTAGACGGAGCCTGCAGAGGAAAGCATGTTATAGCTGCACTGCCATCTACCATGTTAAAACAGGCAGACAATTTTGCATGGAAATCACTACAACAGACATATTCAAAAACATCCTTCCTCCCAAGCTCCCATACCCGATAAGGGACTACAATGTTTCACTATTCACTCCTCTTAACTCTCACATTTGATACACCTAGGATTGATGAAATTCATTAATATTTTATTTAGCAATTCTTAAATGTTTCAAAAATAAGCTTAATTTTCCATTCCTAAAATTTAGTATTTTCATTTTCCATCCTTATTTAAGGTAGCTTTATACTGGTCTCAAGTTAATACCAAGTCATCTCTACATCACCATCTCAATTACCCGAGTTTGTTGAAACTTCATAACTTTTGGGATGAACCACTTAAATGTTTTCAACTCTTTCTTCCCCCAAAGCCCCTTCAAAATGCTAGGTAATCTTTCCTCACTAAGAACTAAATGTATTATGAACCTGCTTAAGACTCCCTATGTCAAAAGGGGACACACAACTACTGAACATACATATAAACATATGGACAACTTTCTTACTAACCAAAAGAACATGCACGGTAGCAGTTAAGTTATCATTTCCTCCATTACTTCAAAAAAGTGCTGTTTAGCATGGCAACATTGTACAGTTTCAAACTGCTGATTATACTAAATAACAAACCAAACACAAACTATATTACTTCTGAAGGAAAATTTGCATTGAGGCATAAAAGTAGCAGATAACAAAAAATCTGACACAATAGTACTTTTAACAATGCAAAATTTCTCAGTAAGATTGTTCTCCACTGTCTTCAATAGAGAAAATTTGTAAACAGCAAAGTAAACTAAACTAATTAAGTAAATTTTGTGTTTTTTGCTTTTTTCTTTTTGGTTAAGTAAATTTTGAATCATCCACTTCAGAGGTTGATAATGGACACAAAATAAATAAATAGGAAAATTAAGTTGCTGGTGTAGTCAAGCTAGGCATCTGCAATTAACAATAATTTACTGCATGTTATCAAATGGCTAGAAGAAAGGAAATCAAATGTCCTCATCACAAAGAAATTTTTATACTAATGAATATGGTAATTACTCTGATTTGATCACCACACACTGTATGCACATACTGAAATAGAAATTCAACTCTGTACCCTACATATATGTATAATCAATGTTTCAATAGAAAAAGAAAAAAAAGAATGTGAACAATTATGAATTATAGGAACATAAAAAAAGTAAGTTTTGCATAACAGTATCAAAGTAATAGTTCATTCAGTGAAGGTACAAAGACATAGAAGGGATGTTTTCCCTGTTATTCCCAGAACTTGATGGAAGTTCTATTCATTTTATAAGAATGTGGAGGATACCAGATTACCTACGAAATTCCTAATCATTATTCAGCATGCCTCTCAACCTTTGTTTTCTACACATAAACTGTCATGCATCCTTTGTGTAGCTTTTCCCTGAAGACAATCTACCTATAACCTCTATACACCATCCATATTCTAACAACACTGGTAACAGATTCTCTTTATATAATTGCTGCTTCTCCCATCCACTTGACTTATATTTTCAAGGGTACAGGAATGACATCAGGGATATTCCAGTGCCTGGTGTCCAGTAAGGATCCAATGTTGGAACATGATTTACTGTATTACATAAAAACTTATAAAGATGTCAAAAGATCTATTCAAATAAAGAAACTAAGCCCCCCCAAAATAAATGTAGTTTCTGACCCAAACTAACATCATGAGCAGTAGAAAGTTTAAGATATGTAACTTAGACGTTCCTAATATTGTCAAAGGATTCTTTATAAAGCAGTCTAAATCCAGGAATACTTGGTGTGTGTCTGACTCACTGGCGATTTCCATTTTTATAGCATTATATCTATTAAGTCTTGAAACCTTCAGCCACCTACAGTGACAGAAAGTAGATTAGTGGCTGCCTAGAAATGGGTAATGACTGCAAATGAGCATGCGAGATCTTACTGGGATGATGGAAATGTACTCAATGCAGCTTGTGGCAATGACTACACAGTTCTGTAAATTCACTTAAATCACTTATTAATAAACTGAAAATGAGTGAATTTTATGGTATGTAAACTATACATAAATGAAGATGCTCTTAAAAAGTAAAAAGTCAGGACCTTCAAATAAGATAAAAAGTCCATTAAGATTGCTTTTTTAAATTGTTATCCAAAAAACAAAACCAAGGGCCGGCTCGGTGGCGCACTGCTACAGTGCGCCGCTTGGGAGTGTGGCAGTGCTCCCGCCGAGGGTTCGGATCCCACGTACAGACTGGCCGCTCACTGGCTGAGCGAGGTGCGGGCGCGACACTGAGGGTTGCGATCCATTGCCGGTCACGAAAAAAGACAAAAAGATTAAAAAAAAAAAAAAAAAAGGAACAGCTAACCAATCAAGACAACACTATTCCTCAAGCACATACCACCAGACAACGGTTAATATCATAGTGTTAA